AGCATCTATTTAAAACAATTTGTAAATGGCTTAACAGAGTTTTACATGATTGAAAATACATATATTTACTATTTATTTAAAAATCTATTAAATGCTTTATATAAACAGCTCTAATGGAAATATGTTTCTGATTCTGAAAGATTCCTAGAAAAAAAAAACTTTGAGGTGACATTCACCTTGGCAATACAATAAAAAGTTCACTCAAGTTCCTGCTATTCTACCACTAATCCCAAATTCAATCTTTGCTAATACTTGATACTTATTATTTTTATGATATGTACCTTTTAATAATTATCTCACATCATTAAAGAAATCCTTTCAGACACAGAAATTACCACACCGAAAAATTAAATTTAATATAATCTTAGCGCAAGAGAAAGGGGAGAAGTTTTTAATTACATGGAGACCTCTGTGAGGTTGTTTTACATTTATATTTAATTTACATTTACATTTAGCCTTCAAGTCTGTATTGACTCTTGGCGAGTGCCGGGACTAGTCCTTGCAGTTTTCTGCAAGATTTTCAGAATGGATATTATTATTGCTCATTATTGTAAATAAATGGGCACAGACTTCTTCAGGTGGCAGTGACGTCTAATACCTTAAAAGTTAAAGAGTGTTTTTTTTAAAAAAAGGCAAACAATGTTTTTATAACTATGACTGAAAATATATTGTTCATTTAAAATATACGGAAATACTTGAACTTGCCTCTTTGGTGAAAAATGTGTTTGCATAAGAGCAGCTTGATTCATAGCCTGGATCCAGCCATTCATATCTTCTTGAGTATCTGCACTAAAGTAGTATGTGCGCATCCCTGAATGCTCTGCCTGAGAGCCAATAACAGAACTCTTATTATAAATATAAGCCCTCATGCCTGTATGGACAGCCTGTAAAGAGAGAGACAGAGGCATTTTAGGCAACGTTAAAGAAGAAAAGATATGCAAGATTCCATGCTTACGAAAGCAGAGCAGCTGTTTCAAATGCCGCAGCATGGCAAAATGTTTTAAATAATCAGTATGGCCTCTGTTACAAAATATAAGGTGATACCATCAAAATCACTGCAGTACAGCACCTGCTGTTTCTATGTAATAGGACAAATTTGTGGGATTTTTTCATATAATTCTAATGATATTACAGCTTGTTTCTGGCTTTTGCATCAGTCATTTTAATATTTTATAACATTCCGCTTATCTCAAGGAAATGTATGGCAAAGATTACACTAATAGGCCAGCAGAATTTACATTTGTTCCTTCCTTGGCTGAAATTACACATATTAGATTGCTGTGTAAAGAATAATTTATTGAGGAGAAGAAGAAAACTAAAAATCTTACAATGCCATCAGTTTTCTTTTAGAATTAATATTCTTAAAGAGTTGTTTTCTGTTTTTATTAAAATGTAAAGCAAAATTATTTAAAAAACGGTTGCTAAATACTGAGATTGGTTATGACCAGCAATAGTTTGAATAAAATATTTTACTGTGCAATACAGTTTTAAAAAGCGATAGTCAGCACCCTTTGGATCAAGTCACATTTGGGGCAAGTACAAGCAATGGTTTCTTATTTCAGGGGGTTTACACACCATGCTGCCAACAGCCACAACATGCAGTGAAACACGAGGCAGAATACAGTATTTTGAGGGAATCAGAACAAGAGGGAAGATCATACAAACTAGTTCAAATTATGCTACTACATACAGTACATGCTACATTAACATAGACAAGGAAGGTAATTTAATGCCACAACTAAAACTGTCTTGTTGTGGAGGCATAAAGTAACACTACATCCAACACAGAGCCTTAGCATGAGGGGAAAAAGTGTGGATAAATAAATAAAGCTATCAAGTTGCAACTGGCAGAATTTACAGAGTTAAAATCCATGGCCAAAGGAACAATTTTTATCTTTTTGGCAAATTCCTAACAATAACTTTCAGGTTGCGCATATATACCTGAAAACAAAGAACTGAAAGCAGCTCATCATCTTGAAATACTTGTCAAGATACTCAGGCCCTGAGTGTTACTTCTCCTTCTACAGGCAAACATACACACTTTGTAGTATTAGCTCTAGAATTACCAGTTATCCAAGTAATGGTTGGAATGACCAACCCTAACCCTGACCATAGCTGATCTAATGAGCCATTTGCAGCTTCTATTAGTATCGATAAATAAATTATATCTGTTATCAGTTATGGGTTTTCTAAATTTTAAGATGGGTCATACAATCATACTAAAGATTGACTGAATCCTAATGTAGCACACTATTCCTCCAGAAGAGTGACCATAGGCCAGCCACAATACAGTTTTTCTTTGATAGTCAAATTAAAAATAGCAGCAAGTAGAACTTTGCCAATATCCACATTCGGTAGTAAAAGAAAGCTTACACAATTAGAGTAAGCAACACATGTCATGTTATCAGCAGACCCTGTCATTAGAAAGACTATCTCCAGCATGTGTAACTGATAGTGTAAAACAGCAATGTCTAAATATATGCCAGTTATCTCTTAGCAGCACACCAAACAAGCAACATGAAAAGCTATGATTGTAAGTGCAGAGGCAATCAGTGACAGCAAAACACACACTGTGAGCCATAAATTAGGATACATAATTCTAATTCACAACCATTTTTAAATACAGCACACACACATTCACAATAGGGATGAAAAAGTAATTATTTGGTACCTATTCATGCATTCAGATGCCCTTATTCTGGAAAGAGGGAGAAGGAAAGGCAGTCTCTTTCCCATATTGCACAGAAGAAGAAATGGAGAACAAACCCAGAGCACACATCAATAAGAACAAAACAAGGGCAAAGTTGAAAAAGTTAAAAAGATAGAAGTCTAAATCATTAATAGGAAGTTGATGTAAGTTCAAACCTTTAGAAACAGCCATTCACCCTTTTCACAAAATGCCTATATAGAACTTTAACTTCTCAGAAGTTCATTTAAAATACCACCCTCCACAATTTTTCTCATGCAAAAACCTGGAATTGAAAAAGAGCAGGATTGCTAATGCTGATTTTTTTCATACACAATAGAGGACACCAACTAATATTACTCATATTAGCCTATGTAATGTAGGCTCTAGGCTTTCTGGCTACTGAATAAAGAATAAATATTAGATTCTGGCAGAGAAAAAAGTTTATTTCAGATAGATAGGTAGATAGGTAGATAGGTAGATAGGTAGATAGATAGATAGATAGATAGATAGATAGATAGATAGACAGACAGACAGACAGACAGACAGACAGACAGAGACAGACAGACAGACAGACAGATTTAGCAGCCTGTTTTTGAAACTAGCTATACTTCTCAGGTATGGAATGAGTTTGGTAACTTACATTAAATCTGGGGGACAAGACTCTCTAATTTTTAAATGGAAAGCCTGTAGTCATCGGAAATAAGTTGTATGTTTCACTTCTAAGAAAGTACTACTAACATTATTTAATAACAAACTATGTATTGGAATATTATCCATGAAATAAAGCTGAAGTTTAACAGGATAAATAATTCTGAAAGTAGTATTTATGACACAATAAACATTTGGAAAGGAACTGCCTAATTTTTTATGAATAATGCAAAGTATTAAGCAGAAGTATTTGACTTCAAAGATGGAATAATTTAAATTAATACATAGACTGATTTGGATGCAACAATGGAAAATAAATTACGCTGAGCTCAGGACTTAGGATACAGAAAAGAGAAAGGCACTGCATAATGACAACCGATCTGACAGATTGCCTTTAAGGATTCATTCAGATACTACATTTTCCACCAAAGAAATGGGAAAACTATTTGTTTATTTTGCAATTTCTTCCTGTGAATAGCAAATTATAATGTATGAATATACTGTTATTATAATTCATTAGCCATATTCACACCTATATCACCACCAGGAGGGACTACTGCAATGTACTCTCCATTGGGTCACCTTTAAAGATTACTTGGAAACTGCAACTGGAGCAGAATGCAGCTCCCAGAGTGCTGGAGAGTGAAAGCTACTTCAGCTATATTATCCATACACTGTACTGTGGGCACTGCATAGGCTATCTATAGTCTCCAGGTACAGTTCAACGTGTTGATTTTGACTTTTAAAGCCCTCTACGGCTTGGCTTCTAGGTATCTGCAGGAATGCCTTTTTCAGGGAGCACCATTCCATCCAATGTGTTCATCCCAGCTAGGGATATTATCTGTACCCAGTATGTGAGAATTTACGCTGGTGGGGGCCCAAAAGTCAAGTTTCTCTGTTATGGCCTCTACCTCCTCTTAGAAATGAGACTTGTGTCAACAGTAACATACTTCCATAAAGTAGTGAAAACTGAGTTATTTTGTAGGGCATTGTAGCTACTGAGCTACTGAGTATTCACAGATACCAATGAAGGTGAGGTTTGGCCGTCCCCAGGTTAAGAACATCCGACTTATGGGCAACTCATATTTACAAATGGGCTGCCTACTACTAAAAATGGCAGATTGCATTCTCCTTCCTCGAGTCGACAAACTGCTGAAGCCACACAGTGTTTTCATGATCTGCAGAAGCCACACGTTTTTACTATACAGCCAATTTTCAGCAGTTCATTAAAACATTGTGTGGCTTCAACAGTTCATCACCTCAAAGAAGGAGAACGCTGTCTGCCATTTTTAGTAATAGGCAGCCTGTCCATAAGTACAGGTTCCAACTTACATACAAATTTGAGTTAAAGACAGATTTAGGAACAGAACTGGTTCTTAACCCAGGGACTACCTGTATACTGATATTGTCTTTTTTAAACTGTTTTTGTTTTCACTGACTGCTATATTTTTATTTATTCTAGTTTTTATTTTATTTATTTGGTAAATTTATTTAGCCGCCCATCTCACATACATAACTCTGAGCAGCGTACAAAGTTAAAAACACAAAAAACAATATAACAAAATAACCAAAAACGTAACAAAAATGTAAAAAAATTAAAAACCATTAGAAAAATCACATGAACTGCTGGAGAGCACACTCAATTTCCCTAGCAATACAGCCACTTTGCTGATCCCATACCCATGTTATGGGATCCCCAGGCCGGATGGCAAAGCCATATTTTCAGGCCCTTCTGGAAGGCCAGTAAGTCAGGGCCAATCTGAACTCAGGGGAGATGATGTTCCAGAGGGCAGGAGCTGTGGCAGAAAAGGCTCCCCTCCTGGGTCCCAAGAGATAACATTCCTTCATGGATGGAGCCCACAACATGCTCTTCATATGTTGTCATAATATGTCATCATAATATAAAAACCTAAAACCTATCATTTTGCAAGATCTGCCCAAAGATGTTTTAGGTTTTCTTTCAGTTGCAAGTTGTCCCAATGCACTGGAAGGTCAACTAACTTTTCTATGACAGCTTTTCCAGGAAATACAAAGACTATGTTGAAAAAAAGAGATTTTTCAGTTCTATTCTTTCCATTAAATATATACTATGAAGTGAGACCTATAATCTCTAAAAGTTAATGTATTCGGTTGCTTAAGAGAAATCATATATTTTGCAAATACTGAATTTACCTTAAAGGAATATTTGCGATTTATATGATCTTCAGGTCCCACCGGTGAAATTACATAACTAGGTAATGGTATGCTTCCAAGAACAGATTCTTCTCTGCTGTCTTTTGAATGAAAGAAATAATCAGATTAACTTCCATTTTTCAATTAAAACACAATATACTTACAGCAGTTAACTTGTGTGGTACAGAAACCTAAATCTGGTAGGTGAAGGACTTACCTGATTCATTAGGGACTGAGGGGACTGAGCAAAGACACATACACACGCTAGTTCCACCAGATGATCAGAAGTGCTAAATGTTCAGCAGACTCAAATGCTACATTCCAGCTGAGATAATGAGCATTATAAAAGCTGAGAAGCAGTTATAGTTTAGTGGGGAAGCACATGCTTGCATGCAGAAGGTCCTAGGTTCATTCTTTTGCATTTCCAACAAAAAGAGTCATCAACTGTGAGCTAGAACAAAATGTTATCTATCCCTGTATCAAGAAGATTCCAATTTCTGCCCACGTTGCTAAATACTCTGCAAATACTCTGCAGTATATAATTCCATGTAAATTACTTCCCAACAATATCAAAGAATATAATCCAATATCCTGTTTCCAACAGTGACCAGATCATCCTGGAAAGCTTAAAGCAGAGAATAGAATTTCCCAGCCACTAGAACCTATAGAGGCTTATTTATCTTGGAATTGCCTCCCCTCCCTTAGTAATTTTCATACCAATTCAAGTTCTTTGAACATGTCAATATCTAAATGATTACATTGATAAGTTCTTGTAATTCATGTATATATTTTATTAAACTACTATCATCCACTTTTCAGACAAAATTGCAGAGCTAACATTAGAGAAATTATGTATGTATGAGGAACACAAACTGATGCGTTAATAGTCCACTTCACATCTGAACAAGAAGATCAAGGCCTTTGTATTTTTCAGATGGTTGTGATTATTCATTCTTCAATGAGACTGTGCAACATTGTTCCCAAGGTTAAAAGTATTCAAAACAAAAAAGAGTGCCAGTGAAGATGTGTGCCACACTTGAATAAATAAACAGTAATTCTTACTTTCTCACTGAGATTATATGTGATAATTGATCTGTCAGTGCAATATCAGAAATGCATGCATATAAAAAGTAAATGTCACTAAGGATAACCTTTCCTTAAATGCCATATTCATCCAAACAAACGACAAGCCTAAATTCAAAATGGGTAAGCCCCAATTAGGAATAGATGGAGAAAAAATTATAAACACAGCAAAAGTCTTGTGCGATGCTTGTGCAAAAATCTTGTGCCCACTTTGTTAACCTAGGTTTGCCAACTCTATGTGAAACCAGTCTTGGAGATTCCTTCCCCCAACAAATGTGGATACATGACATACCAGTTTACATGTATGCACATACAGAAGCATGTATCTATAGCTGTTAAAAGCCTCACTCCAAAAAAGGGGAAAGGCCAGAACAAAACCAGTATTAAATAAATTTAATTAAAATGAATTGTCTGAAAAATATGTTATCCTTTTCTAGCATTAATTAATCCACATCTGCATATACTAACTTTTCTTTCAAACCACTCTCACAAACAAAAATAATAAAATAATACACCTCATTTCTGTTTTTTCTGCAGGAAGAATAAAGAAGGAAAAATAGTGGAGATGAGGAATGGGGAAGGAATT